CTTCCACACCTACCTGTACCTTTCCCCAAAGCTCTACCTGATAACTCCAATTCGTCCCAAAAATAAATCATATACCACAAGCCACCGCATAACCCAAATCCCAGGTTGTCCTAAGATTTGCCCTACCCACATCAAACAGACTATTCATAACAGGTTGCCTTTATGCATGCAAATTATACACAGAAAAGGATCAAATAGACTTTCGAATAAGAGATTCTACCCTAGGACCACAACCACACAAGGAACAGGAAATAAGGCCAAATCAATCATTCTAAGGCTATAAGCTCCTAATCGCATATAATTTTAAAAGCATACAGATAGCAAAATCCATACGATTATCAAAGCTCAAATATCAGTATAACATGGCTAACACATTGGGGAACTACTTACTTGGATAGGCCGATCACGCGCCTTGCACTCTCCTCTTTTCCAGACTCAAAATTTTTAACTTTTATTTTTTTGAAAACATTTTTACCATTTCCTTAGTTTGAGTCCTGACACACCCGAGAGTGTGCCCGAATCCCTCAAACCAAGGCTTTGATACCAACTTGTAACGACCCAATTTTTCAAAAGAAATTTTTCATTTTTAATTATCCAAAACACAATTTCATCATCCACAAAAACCTGTTACAATTATTTTCAAAACCATATCAAATACAACTTTATTTCAAAATATCAGAGTGTCCCATAAAATGCCCGAGTGAGAGTGCACGCCGCGCCATCAAGCCTTACCCTTTCCCTTGGGCTCAGATGTACCTGAAACAAATCCACAAACTGTAAGCTAATGCTTAGTGAGTCCCCCAGAGCATACCCTACACACAATCCACATGACACATATCATATTAGCTATAAAGCTACACATATCACATAAGTCATGCATACAATATATAAGGAAGCCATGGAAACCCTCTAGGGTCTTACACCTAATGCCACAGGAACCCCAACATGGTCTTAACTGCCATGGGAACCCCCACAAGGTCTTCCTGCCTTGGGAACCCCCACAAGGTATTCACTACCAAACAAGACATAATGCAAACTATACAAACATATATACTAGGATGCCATGGAAACCCTCCAAGGTCTTATACCAAATGCCACGGGAACCCCCATGTGGTCTTCCATGCAAATGTCATAGTCTCATATCGCATAATCAATCAACAATCCACATCACATAAAATGGGACGGCCTTGGTACCTTAGACCCATGGGTATGGTGAGAAGACTCACCTTGTCTGCTGAATCCGAAAGTTGCTCTCCTAACAGTCCGTAACCACCCGTGCTGAACAATAATAACATTACTCAAGGTTAGCACTGAACACAATCCAATTGAAGAGTCCAAACCCCAAGTCCTCTCTCAATGGCCCAAAAGCCTTCCTTTGCTATTGGGCCCAAAGTCCATGTCTAATTATCATTAATGGGCCTCATGGCCCGATAAGGCCCAACCCTAGAAACCATGGCCCAAAACAGATAAGTTGGCCTACCAATCCAAAACGTGACCAGGTCCAATGACTAATCAAGGCCCAAAAGCTTAAAAGCCCAAACCAAGACCAAATCCATCTACTGTGTGTATGCCTAGCGTACCACCCTGGTACGCGCAGCGTACTGAGTCCCTGGGTCGTACGCGCTGCGTACGCTAAGTTACGCCCAGCGTACTAACAGATTAAGCACTTTCTTCCATTAAGTGCTTAATACTAGATTTTCTCACGTTCAATAGTCAGATCTAAGCTCATTAAGACGACCTAGGGCATAAAGTTGGCAACTTTATGCCTTTGCATGTCTCATATGTTCCCAACAACCCATTAAGACCTTTCCAAGGGTTTTAATTTATGCATGAGGTCAAAACACCCATCAAGACTTCATTTTTATGTTATGAATGGACCAAAGGACCTCAGATCTAACCTTTTCAGCCTATGGAGTCGCTCAACTCTTAAGAGGAGGTCCAAAACCAACTAAAGGGACAAACTAGAAAACCCTAGCTAGATCTAATGAATAAGATGGCAAGATCAAAGCTTTATACCTCTAGAAGCTCCTCAAGGTGAACTAGATGCAGATTATTGAAGCCCAAAGTCACTCCAAGCTTGCTTTAGCAACTCCTCCTTCTTGAATGGACACAAAAATGGCCACAAATGCACTCCTTAAGCTCAAAACACACTCTCAAATGATTCTAGGGTTTTTAGGGACGTTTGAAGGTGAGGGAGGCTGGTTAGGGTGGAGCTCAATGAGATAAGGATGCTTATATAAGTCTCAAGTCCGGAATATTAGGGTTTGCACACCCGTCACATACACCCCGCGTCTTCTTGGTACGCCCAACGTACGTGCTAACCCTCCGCGCTCATTGATTCGTGGTACGCTAAGCGTACTCATGAAGTACGCCCAACGTACTTAAGGGACATAAAATGATATATTAAAAACTTCCAGGTCTATAATGGCAATACCTGAATTGGAGTGTTACATGGACGGGATCTATCTAAAGCATTGTTGTTTTGTGAAGACATTGTCTTGTCCTAATGATCGAAAGAGGTTGAAGTTTAAGAGAGCTCAAGAGAAGGCGATGAAGATGTTGTATGAGAGTTTAATGCTCTTAAAAATGTTGGCATATACTAAAATACCTTGCGACTTTTGTTGAAAATAAGAAAATGGGTGAGGTGATGTATAGTTGTATCATATTGCATAATATGATTCTCGAAGATGAGGGAAATGCAATATATGAGTATAATGTAAACGAGATCGTTCCACCGACGCACGCATTTGAGGTTGGAAGCGAAGAGTACTTGGCAAGAAGAGAAATAATTCATGATGTTGAGATCCATCGTGATTTTTGCAAAGACTCGATGAAACATATTTGCACTGTTGACCATGTTGGTCTTAACGCAGAACCGATCGATGATTTAGAAGACCAATTTTTTGTTGAATATGTCCTTTAGTTTGTAGTAACTATGGTGGTTTACGTTTTTATTTTTTTTAAGTGTTTAACTAGTTATGTTTATACGTTTATTTTCATTTTGAAGTGTGTAAGGTTAAGACTTTAAGTTTTTTTTACTATTATTATTATTATTATTATTATTATTATTATTATTATTATTTGTTGCAATTAAAAAAATGTTAAATTTAAATTGATGAAAAGTGTGACAACCCACCGTTCCTAAATGACAAGATGTGTGACAAAAATATGATGACGCCTATGTAACATCACTTTTAGTTTGGGAAACATGACACAACTCCTTCTAGCCTTACACTAAGAGGAGTAGAGCTGTCATTTGCTCGATAATGGTGGCATACACCGTCCCGGACGACGACATGCCGAGGAGGAGGTGATAAAACGACATTTTTGTGACGCGGGGGGGGGGGGGGGGGAGTGAGAGAGAATCTAATTTTTTCCATTTTTACTTTTTCATCTATTTGTCACCCCTGTTGATGTCATGATAAAGGCTGTGTTTGGCGTGCCACAGCTAGCTGATAAACTAGCTTATTTTTCGAGCTATTTTATGTTGTCGTGTTTGGCAAGCCAAAAAGTAGCTTATAAGCTAGCTTTTTGAAAAGCTACTTAGACTAGCTTTTTAGGAGCTTTTTTAAAATTTTCCAAATACACCCCTTAATTAATTATAGAAACACATACTCCTACATGTCCTTTTATGTAATTTTATATATTTCAGCTAGCTTTTCAGCTAGTTTTATCAAACGTTATTTTTTATCAGCTAGCTTTCCAGCTATCAGCTAGTTTTTTATTTAACAGCTAGCTTTTCAGCTAGTACGCCAACCATAGCCAAATTTTATATCCATTCTATATGAAGCTTAGGTGGAAGCCAAAAAATGGATGTGAATGCATAACATGTCATGGACCGTAAATATATTACTTTAAAGAGTCTTTAAAAAGTTTAATGACGTGAAATGGAAGCTTTTCCAAATTCTAGAAGGTCAGTTTCTATGATGCTTCCTCTTTATCCATTGCTCAAGAAACCTTTCAAAGTTTCTTTATTTGACTAAAGTTTTATACTTTTATTATTAATTTCATAACTGACATTTATCATTTTATAATCTGAATATAAAATATTTTATCAGTACATAACGGCTAACTGAGACTTTTATATTAATGAAAATGACATAAGTGAGACAAATCAAAATATGTATTGTTATTTACAATTTTATCTCTTGAAACAAAATCAGTGGTTAAAAAATATTGTAATCGTTTGGTAAAGTCATGCAAACGTACATATTAATTTTGTAGTCCGAACAAAAAACTGTTTTTTTTTTTAATGTTAAATCAATCACTAAATGTAATTATTTTGTCATTTTATAGTTTTCATACCATTTGTTTATCATGCTTATTTTCCAGGTAATTGTATACTTTTAAATTGTTTCGTATATTTTCTTTGTAAGTGAAATAATATATGTATCCACATGATTTGATAATTTATGTGAATGAAAAGATACGAATACATGTTTATGTTTTTAAGCTCATGCCAGACTATATGATATATTGGTTTTATTTTCTTGATTTTTTGTTAAATATAGATACGTATACATGTTTATGTTTTTAAGCTCATGCTAGACTATATGATATATTGGTTTTATTTTCTTGATTTTTTGTTAAATATAGATGTCAGCTATCTTTCTTTATTTTATCTCAATAAGATTACCGATATCTATTGTTGATGTTCTTACTATTGTTTACCGTTATCATATGTTTGAGCAAATATTAGAAAAATATAAAAATATCTTTTGGATTGACTGTTAATATCAAGAAGTTTCGAATCGAAAGCATAATTTTAGTCAACATAACCTCCTAAAAAGTCTGGTCTTTACTTTGGGTCTCATTAAAAACAAACCAGAGGCCACCATTGTTGACCACTAGATTTCCCCCTTCTAGAGCACCTTCATCCCCCAAAACACCTCTACAAAACCAAACCCCTCCCCAACAATCCCATTTCATCAGCATCATCACCAAACCCCATTTCAATTCTTCAAGAAGAATCACATCTTTTTACTCAATTCTTCTGAAATATGCCTCCTTTTTCACAATCAGGCCCTCTCTCGATTGCGTTTTCCCACAATAATCACAAATTTGACAAACCCAACCACCATTCATCCACCAATGTCGTCACAATTGACGTCGGAGGTCAGCTCTTTCAAACCACCAAACAAACCCTAACCCTAGCTGGCTCCAACACCCTCTTCTCCAATCTCTTCAGTTCTTACGATCAAATCCCGTTTATCGACAGAGACCCTGATCTTTTCTCAATCCTTCTTTCCGTTTTACGAACTGGTAATTTCCCATCGAAAGCTAAATCTTTCGACATCCAAGATATCATCTCTGAAGCAGAGTTTTACGGGATTGATCATCTTCTTGTTCAATCTCACTCAAACCCGTCTCAATTCGACGCATTCAATCTCGAAAAATCAACAATTTTGCCTCTTAGTGGCAGAGATTCACCTTCAGTTATCGCGACAACACCTTATGGCTCAGCTCATGTCGCGCATGGAAGCAAAATCACGTCTTTTGATTGGTCGTTGCGAAGAAAGTCAACAATTTTGACCCCATTCACAGCTATCGATTCTTTGTTATCGTTATCATCGAACGTAGTTGCAGCAGGCGCGACTGATTTCTCCGGGCTGCAAGTTATAAACCTTGATATGGGTTCTGTTGTGCAAAGTTTGAATTGGGAAAACATGACTCGATCAAGCTCAACTGTTCAAGCAATCGGGAGTTCCCCTGAGTTCTTATTTACAAGTTTCGAATCAGGTCGTAGGAATTCAAATTCCATCATGGTTTATGACATAAACGATGGTTTCAGAGTCGTTTCCGAGATTGCACGTAATGAAATCTTTGGTGCTGATCTTGATTCCGCGATTCCATCGACAAAGTTAAGCTGGGTTTCTAGCCTTAATCTGTTAATGGCGTCAGGATCTCATAGTGGGGCATCTGGGGTTTCTGGAAACATAAAGTTTTTGGACATTAGATCTGGCAACATCGTGTGGGAAATCAAAGAAAAATCCGATTGTTTTTCAGATATCACAGTTTCAGACACCCTTTCGGCTGTTTTCAAGATTGGGGTAAACTCAGGTGATGTGTCATACATTGATTTCAGGCACATTGATTCTGATAATTCATGGAATTGTCTTGGTGACACGAAGAAGACAATTAAAGGGAAGAAAGAAGGGTTTGGTTGCAAGATTGAAAGCCATGGAAATCAGGTGTTTTGTAGTAAAGAAGGTGAATTGGAGGTATGGTCGGAAGTTTTCATGGGTGGTTCTAAAAATGGCAAAGATGAAAGAGTTTTTAGAAAGAATGTTTTAGGAAGAACAAAGGATTTGGGAGGAAATAGGGTTACGAATTTGGGTTTTAGTGGAAACAAAATGTTTGTGACTAGAAAAGATCAACAATCCGTGGAAGTTTGGGAAAGCTCAAGAAAAGGATTTTGATTCTTTGTGTATAAAATGTCATTGTATATATTTAATATAATTGATTCATTATTTCAAACAAAATTGTTAAAAAGTACCAAGTGAAATAATCACTTAAGTTGGCCAAATCAAACTAAACTAAACGATTTTTGAAGCATGTTTATAGTCAACATATATGTCGGATTGCATGCATATCCGAGAAAATAATAAAGTTGCAAAAAAACCGGTGAATGAAATTGGATTGTGACGAGTTTCAAGTGATATTCACCGCTTCACATGAGGGTTGCTTAGGTGTTGGTAATGAAATCATGGTATCCGGCTTGAGTCTTTGTGTGGGCTGAAGCAGTCTTCAATGTACATGTCCACAAACCGTGCGGACTTTTTTGGAATCCGGATCGGTTTCAAAACCGGATTGGATAATGGTCAAAGAAAGTCAAACCGAATTATAGCCAAACCGGACTTGTAGAAAATAATTTGAATGTATAGGAACAAGATAGGATGGATCAAAATCGGATTTGATGAAGCTGAGTTTGGAAAAAACACCATTTTTGTATATTTATTATTATTATTATTATTATTATTATTATTTCAATTTACAAAAAAGTGCAATACATATTGAAATCTAAAAACAGAAAACAAAACAATCTACCCGAAAATCGATACCGTCATAGTTGTTTTGATATTAGTAGCGGACATAACATACCAACAAATGAAGAAATAACAAACCAAGTCAGATTGCAAGATTACAACATGTAATCTTGCATATTCTGCATAGCTAGAATGACGAACAACTAACAACATAAATGGGATAGCTGAGGGTATAACCTTGAACTTGGCGATTATTTACTAACCGAGCACCTAACGTGACGAGACCATTTTGGATACAACCTTATAATAGATATTCGTCTAGGATCGTTATTACAAGTCTCATTGTCATCCCCAAACCAAACCCGACAGTGACATTTCAGAGGCTTTGTGCGGAAATCAAATTGAGGACACACACACACACACACACACATATATATATATATATATATATATATATATATATATATATATATATATATATATGCATGTGTGTAAAATGTTATGAAGTACACTCGTTCCGCTAAATTTAAAAATTAAAGTTGATAACAAACACCTTGTGAATTTTCTACCGGAGCACCTTATGCACATATTCACTCATTAAATACTAAATTGAAACTGCAACAAAGTACTATACTTTCATAATCAATATTTTCAAGAAACTCTTTCTCAATTGAAATTAAAGTCAAAACATTTAATCACTATTGAGACATGATAAATTGCAAATAAGATTTTAACGGTTTTAATTTTTAAACCCTTCTTTCCATTGCGGCAATGGTCATGGGAACAATCAGCAATATTTTATATGTTAGACAAGAAACTAGATAATTTATTATCAGTTTTAAAAAATTTAATGCATTAATTGTGTTATGCTTAACTGGTTAAAAAAAAATTTGTAACAATTTCAGTTTGTTAAATAAATCATCACCATGATCTTTAAGATATGACAATTTTGTAACCTCTTTTAAAGATTTTTATAGTTTGCCTTTAGTTCATCAATTTACAATAGACAAATAGTTTAATCAATTATATACAAATTGTATTTGCTCAAACCTTTGTTCCATGGACCAATAGTTTAATGAACAATGTACCCAAACTTATGAAAAAAAAACCGAGTAAGTGTAAATCATTTAGAGGCGGTCAAAGTCAAACTAAACTCCCACAACTCCTTTGCTAACTCAGGATCCGCAGCTTTGGACGATGGTTTTACCAAATTACTGTCACAAAAATACTCACCACTCACCCCCTTCACCTTTGGATTCAATGCCAGATAGCATGTAGTTGCAGCTCCCTATAAAAAACAAAATCGAGTAACAAGTAAAAAAAAAAAAAAAAAATCCAAATTCAATAAATCAAATTTGAATTACAAACCTGTGAAACATCCTTTGCCAGGTATTTGAGAACAGAGTTGAAGATAACTGCGTGAATAAAAATGATATATAAAACATTTTTTTTTTGGTTAAAATATATTGTAGGATTTTATATATACATACCCGACAAAATACTATAGTTACGAAAAAGATCGGTGATAATGAATCCTGGATGTAATGAGTTTGTGGTGATATAATCGACTCCTTCCTCCTGATTGGAATTGAGTGATTAGCACTTAGCATAATCCCAAATCAAACGTGATTACTTTATATAGAAAGCTAGTTAATTATAGAACCAAAATCACCTTCAAAAGCCTTGATAGTTCTTTCGCATGAAGTATATTAGCCAGTTTTGATAATCCATAAGCATATATATGGTTATAACTGCATAGTGCAAAGTGCAAAGTTCAATCGCACATAAAATTGCAATAAATTAACCATCGACCTCGTCTTCTATGATGAAAAAAATTGGAATTTTGTTCTTTGTTTACCTTGATTCATTGTTAATTTGATCAGAGAAAGTTGTTTTGCGCACAAAACGATGACCTTCGGATGATACGTTGATGATTCTTCCTTCAATTTTTTGTTCGTGACAAGTAATCTTCATCGTCTCCAGCAACAGATTCGTCAAAAGAAAATGACCTGAATGAACCAAGAAAACCAGGGATTGAAACGTTCGCAATAATCATCGGTATCGTAGAAATGGTGTAAACATCCAATTGCATCCAAACAGACCTAAATGATTTGTTGCAAAATGTAGTTCGATTTTGTCCTTCGAGAGCGTGAATTTTGGCGCCAAAACCCCTGCGTTGTTACTTACAACAACAAACAAAAAACCCTAAATTTTTCATAGATTTCGAGAGAAAGTCAATGTAGCGTATGGTTTCTTACATTAGAATGTGTAGGGGAAGGCCTGAAGAACGATATCTGGTTGCAAAATCCCGTACGGATGCCTGAGAGCTGAGATCAAGCTCCATTATGTCGACTTTAGCATCAGGTGTTTCAGTAAGTATATTTTCTTTAACTTTTCTACAGATTTCGGTGTTTCTTACTGCCATAACTACATGTACACCGCGTAGAGCAAGGACTCGTGCTGTCTCAGCTCCGATACCACCGGTAGCTCCTAAGTATGGTTTACAAATTAGTTGATGAACATAGTTCAGTTTTTGACATCAATGGAGTAAGAATTTTGAGATTAATAAATAAATAAAAAAAAACCCTAACGATATTATTGACTTCATTAATTGAAGTGAAGTGAAGCTTGAAATAGAAAGCGATAGGAAGGTCGTACCGGTAACAATGGCGGTGAGACGAGATCCATCGATTCCATTGGTAACTTCCTCCGCTGTTGAAGAAGATGAAAATCCCGATTCCCCTTTCTTTCCGAAAATCCACATTCTTACAAAGTCTAATTAGATGTAATCGATGGGGAAGAATGAAAATAGTGTTCTTACTTTTTCAATAGTGGTCAACGAGGAACTCAAACAATTCAAATTTTTTTATTTGGAATCCTATATATTGGCTTCATAATCGATTTAGTCCTTATATATTTTTTTTATTCAATAAATCCCAAATACCAGTAATCGTATTCAATTTAACCCTTTGACCCGGTCAACAGGTCATCCAACTTTCAAAAATTATATTTTTGGCCCAAATTTCAAATTTTATTACAAATTTGGTCCAAAATTTACACTTTTGGCCCAGATTTTAAATTTTGTTACAAATTTGGTCCAAAATCTACCATTTTTGCCCAAATTTTACAATTTTATTATGAATTCATCCTCACTTTAATTTTTTTACAACTTTTTTTCTCAAAAAACTGTTTCAAATATGTTTTTTCTTTATAAAATCATATTTATACAAAAAAAACGTATTTTCACATAAAAATCTTATAATTTCTATATAACTTTTTTTTAAAAAGTTTTTGTATATGAAATATCTAGTTATAAAAATATATATTTACCAAGTATATAAATATATAAAAATCTGTTTTTATAAAAAAAATATATACAAAAACGTATTTTACAAAAAAATGTATACAAACGCCTATCACCTATATATATATATATATATATATATATATATATATATATAGGTGTGTATCTATATTTTTTTATAAAAACGTGTTTGAATAATTTTTTATATAATACGTGTTTGTATACATTTTATAAAATCGTGTTTGTATACATCTTATAAAAACGTGTTTGAATAATTTTTTATATAATACGTGTTTGTATATATTTTATAAAATCGTGTTTGTATATATTTTATAAAATGTATACAAACATGTATTATATAAAAATATATTCAAACATGTTTTTATAAAAAAAATATAAAAACACGATTTTATAAAAAAATATATATAGATAAAATAGGTGTTTGTATACATTTTTTTGTAAAATACGTTTTTGTATACATTTTTTATAAAAACCGATTTGTATATATTTATATACTTAATAAATATTTATTTTTATAACTAGATATTTTCTATAAAAACTTTTTAAAAAAAGTTTTTATATAGAAAATATAAGATTTTTAAGTGAAAATACGTTTTTTTTTGTATAAATATGATTTTATAAAGAAAAAACATATTAGAAACAATTCTTTGAGAAAAAAAAGTTGTAAAGAAAACTAAAGTTAGGATGAATTCATAATAAAATTCTAAAATTTGGGCAAAAAGGGTAAAGTTTGGACCAAATTTTTAACAAAATTTAAAATCTGGGCCAAAAGTGTAAATTTTGGACCAAATTTGTAATAAATTTTGAAATCTGGGCCAAAAATGTAATTTTTTAAAGTTAGATGACCTGTTGACCCGGTCAAAGGGTTAAATTGAATACGATTACCGGTATTTGGGACTTAATTGCATAAAAAAAATATATAGGGATTAAATCGATTATGAGGTCAATATGTAAGGACTTTATTGTAGTTTTCCCTTTATCTTTATTAGTTTATTACATACCCATACAAAAACCAACATTGTTTTGACAAAATTACAAGAATGGTCCCTGTGGTTAGGTCGAATTTGCCACTAGCACTTATGGTCCAAAGGTTTTCATTTTCTTGTCA